CCAATAAGTGCAGTAAAGTAGGGAATCTAAATAGCTCGTGGCAACCACCGAAACGATCTGTCTCCTTCACGTCTCTCCGGCGAGAAACGAATTTCCTTTCGCCTTTCCTGGGAAGAATCTCCGAACCATCTGGCCCGCTTTCAGGCTGAAAGATACGATGGATGTGTGCACAGAGAGAGGTGTTTCTCATTCGCTCGCCGACCACGCTCCATTCGGCGCGATTCCCCACGTCCATCCTTGGCAGATTGTTTGCCCATTCGTCTCACGAACCCGTGGCTGGGTTTCGCGCCGGAGCCGTAGCTCGCCGACATTTTAATAAAGGACGAATCCTTGGCAGGTGCTCGCTTATTTGCACGGAAAATGGCCGATAGGTCAAGGAGGAGCACGTCGCCGCCGAGTGAATTCCCATGTTGGGCCCGAGTCCCGACAAGGTCGACGATCCCTCAGGATTCTCCTGAATATCACGGGATATCAAGGAGAGCGGTAGACCTACCTCGACAACGATCTCTTCTTTTTCCAGGTCCCTTGTCAACCCTCTCGACTGCGTGTCCTCGACGGATCTTGCATTAACGTTTATCCCATCCCCGAAATCTCGCTCTTGGAGCTTACACGACCTGCCCTAACGTTGAGTTTCCTCGGGACCTACACGACCTGCTCTAACATCACGGCTCCATAAACCCATACAATCCATTCCCTGTGTTAATAACGACGCGCGATTGTTAATATTTCTTTTTATCTCTTTGGAAAATGGCTGGTGAAGGAAAGCTCGACAACGAGGAGGATATTTCCATGTGCAGGAAAGTCCCGCCGTAAGGATCGCGCAGGAATTGACGTTCTTCCTCTCCTTCTCGGCTGGCATGTCCGTCCTCTTAGGCGGAGGTTTCCTCTTCTCGGAGGTTTCCTCTCGGTGTGGCATTTATCTCTTTGCCGAAATGTCGCGGCTCCCGGGGCTTCGATGACCTTCTCTAACGGCGTTCCGGGTATCCGCTTCCTCGTCGCCGTCTGTCGTCCAGGAATCTGCAATTTAGCGATGCGTCGAGCTTAGCTCGGCCCTCGCGATATTTTCGATATTTTGCGCGATCCTTGCCAATCAATAATAATGAGCAAATGCAAAAACAAGGTAATTTTGGCCTCGACCTTGATCTTGCTTCATCTCACGTCAGTTTATTCGCCCGATTTTTTTTCCCTAGATGAAAAAGTGAAATTCTCAGGCTAAAAGCTCGACAAGGTATAATACATCGATATTCGACGTATGACTTTTATCTCGCGAGTATTCTCACGTGAGGTATCTCACGTGTTCACCTCCTGAAAGAAAATCGCGGAAGATCTCCTCCCTTTTGGAGCTTTTTTACTCGAGTCACAAAATCGACCCCCTGGATCTCGATCTTGCACTCTTTTCTCATTTCTGCAGACGGGAACTAACCGGCGGAAGTAATCGAACGAGTTAAGGCCGCGATCTATGAAGTTAAATTAATTTAAGTCAACCTTAGAAGGGCGCGGAGAAAGTTGCGAGGATTTCCAGCGGTCGCAGTCCATGCAATTCCGGAAAACGAGGTAACTTCTCGACGGCGTCGACTCTTCAGGGTCGGCGACGCCGACGCCCGGAGGAGCGGCCACAGGGACAACGACGACGCCTTAACCCAGACGTTATGCTTCAATTAAAGTTAATCGCGGCTTTGTCGTACGAGGGAGCTCCGGTTCGGATGAAAGGGACGTAACCCGCCGCGACTTCGAGGCCCTTATAGGGCCACTTAAACTCGGGCTCTCGACGGCTCGAGACGGAGGAAATTGTACTTTGCATTTACGCGGTCCGCGGGACCGATGTAATTGTCTGTGGAGGCGAAAGTTAACGAAGAAGCAGTCCTCGAGCCACTTCGAGAAGCTCCCGGCGTGACTTCCTGGGGGAAAGAACTACCGTCAAAACTTTCGAGGACGCCCCAGCGATGATTTCTCCGCGACAGTCACTTTTCCCCATAAAGGACATCACCCCCGAAATTCGCGTCATTGATACCTTGTCTCGTTAATTTCTAAATTGAAAATAAGTACCGATGAAGAGGTCTAGCTGGAGAGAATTAACATTAGGAGCAAGACCACTTTGGGGATCTCCGGGTTGTCAGTTTTTAATAAGATCACCGGTTTAGTCCTTGGGGATAACAAGCCTCGTGTAATCCGGCACAAACGCTGGTTCTTTGTATTACGGACTAATTGAAAAATACCGGGAGCCTGTTATTCCACGGCGAAAGGGCCGCTCTTTGGTCCTGTCCCGGGGCTCTCTTCTGGGTCTTTTCGCGTCTAATTTCTTCTCCTCGCATCCTTCTTGTCCCCGAGTAGCTCGCGGGCAAAGCGGGGCATCGGGAAGCAAGAGTTGCCCCATCTTCGACGTTTGAATCTTGAATAAAGAGGAGCGAACGCTTCCAGGGCGTCCTTGGGGAGGATCCGACGGTGGGAGGGAGGCGGTGAGAGGTCCTGGAGGTGCCGGGTGTTCCGGAGGACGAGGTCTATCCTGAGGGCGGGACCAAGACCTCTAGTACATAACACAGTCTTTATTCAAACGACCCTCCTGGACCTGGCACGACGACTCCCCGCTGACCTGTTCATAACGTGGAAATGTCCAGGAAGTTCCAGGAGTGAGAAGAGTCCTTGCGACCCCCTGGCAACCTTCTAGCAACCTATTTGCAATCTACCCGCCACCTCGATCCTGGCAGAGATTATCTCTCGACAGGAAGTTAGATACCATGTCACGACGATGATCCTGGTTTACTGATCCTGAAGAGATTCAGAGGACGTCAACGGGGTGTCAGGTCCCATGGAACGACTTCAAGGTCTCTTCTTCCGGAACCTACCCCGCATTCCAAATTGAAGCTCCTCCTGTCCCGTTTTACGTGATCCCAGAGGGAAGGCTGCTGCACCTGTCCGACCTGGAGCGTAAAATTAAGTATTCCGCTCTCGGAAAGGGAGACATTCAATCTTTCCTATGGATAACTCGTTTACCGGTGCTCTTCTTCCTTCGGGGTTCGAACATTACCTTCTTCGTCGGCCCCGTCTCGTGCATCGTAAAACTCCAGATCCAACATTGGAACCGTGACCCTTTACAAAAGATTCTAATTGTAAGTCTAGGGGCAAATCATTATTTTTAACAAGTTTTCTTTGAAATTAAGCTTACGCTTAAATAAAACCACCAGGAAGCTGGGAAAAAATGATCAATCCCGGAGGATCCTATTATTGATGAACTCTTGGTTAGTTTCGTTGCGAAAGAAAAATTGTTCAATCGTTAGAAATTTGTTCCCAAAGTTAAGGAGCAACTTTACATGTTTCTCTTAATGAAAGAAATATAGAATGCCGCGCGTGTGTAGATTTAATGTCGTTATAAGGGTCGGGCGATTTTGGAAGGGAGCACACATGATGAAGATGCTGCAGACGTGGGAACCATCCTGGAAGCGGCACGAGGAAGAGCTTACCGTTTATCCCGAGTTGACGGAGTATTTTACTCGGAAAGGGGAAGAAGGAGGAATGCACAAAGGAACGAGAAAAGGGCTATTGGCCCGTCCAAAGGATCTCTCCCTGCGACCCCCAGCTAGTCAGTCCATGCCAAGGTCCGTCCTGGTCTCCCTGGTCTTCTCCGTCCTCTTCTTCCAGGTCTTCTTCAAGATCTTCCCAGCCTTCCGGTCTTTGCGGCCTTCCCAACGACCCTCCACCCTTCCCCGTGGTTCGGATAAATGGAACACACCCTCCACCCTTCGCAGCCTCCGCCCTGGAGAGCGAGGAAATCCTTGCGAGATAAAAGAGTCGCGACGATCACAGAGGACCGGATAAATAGTGGAGGACATTTTAGTCACCGTCTGGATGGTAAATGGCGGCAAGGGACGACGAGATGCTCGATACCCTCCCCTTCTGTTTGTCCCCCTCTTCCTCCGACGTCTACCGAATGGCTGCCGTCCCTCTTGCTGGGGTAAATAAAGCACATTCGAGCAAGACGAGAAATTCTATGGGAAAGTAGCTTTCTAACGGCTCGAATGAAAGTTAGACAAAATTGGAGGAGCACTTTCTGCCGACTATGTCGTGGCTGGAGATATATATATACATTTTTAGAGACGTTTCCCGCGCATATTTTATTTCGGGAAATTGGGTAAATAGCAATATGTTCTCTGGCTTGCGATATTGCGCCGATAAAACGCGTTATTACTCGCTCCTCCGTTTTCTGAGCTTCTTCATTAAGACTTTCTGACTCTTGGGGAGGTTCATAGTATTCGGGCTGTTTCGTATTCGGTGAGTCTAATAACCCGGGGAAGGTATACATATCCCGGTTGATCATTTTTATTTAAGGAGCAAGTTTCGACTCCCCTCGAAGTCTGCAGTTAGTTGTCATATTTTTGTCTTACTGTCCCCTTTCGCGGACTGGACTCGAAGAAATCCTCGCTCCAGCCATAAAACGGTCTACTGCTTCCCTTTCCTCGAGATCTCTTCCGAACATTTTTATACGCCTCTTATTGCATGTCGTTTATTAGACCGAAACTACAGAGATGGGAATTACTATCTCCTGGACTTTATTATTCTTCTGAATTATTCATTATGAATATTACACTATGGTACAAATTGCGACTCTGGTGGTTATTGGTCAGCGTGGATATCATTTTGAAGTTCGTGCTTTGGGTGGAGGACCTGCTTTCTTCGAGTTTTCCCTTTTATCAGATGAAACTGGAAGAGATTGGAGAGACCCTGGTTATATTTTCTGGGATAGAGGAAATTTTGCCAGGATGAGGGTGGATTGAAGGATAATTTCCCTGCCAAATTTCAAATCCCGATTTTAATCGAAATTGACGTCCATTGAAAGACACCTGACGCCCAAGTCAGAAATACCTGATCGAGTCTCGTTTGGCAGCGATCTTAAATTTGTATTAATTTGCTAAATTGCATTCTCGGTCTGAAATGAATTTTAATTTCTTCCCGTGTCCTCGATCTTGAATTCGTGATCATTTGGTATTTTTCTTTTTTCATTTCAGGTCTTGCACACGATATCGGAAGTGTTGGAGCCGCTGGTTTCGACGTCTACCGACGCACCTCTCTACAAGCCTAACGCCTTTCAGTTCCTGAACCAGAGTGAGAACTTCAACATGGATAACCACCGAATCAGGTGAGGCTAACGAGTTCCTGGGATAACGTCGAAGGTCTAAAACCCTCGGCTGATAATTCGAAGGAACTTCGAGTGGGATTATTGGTTCCACCCTACTTTTTAAGCTCCAGGGCGAATCCATAAAGCGGGGCAAGAAACCGCAAGAAATCCTGACTCTTATCCGTCCTTCCTCGCGGTAGTCCAGGAGTCCTCGAAGTAGAAAGTTTAGAGTCCGAAGAGGACTTAAAGATTCCTCGAAGATTCATACGCCAGAAAATAAGCTTTCCACGGAGTTATTGCCGATTCGAGATGTACAAACTTCCTTTGGCGAGTAATCGGCTTCGATACACCGTGAAGTGGGTGGAGGGCATGGTAAAACGCAAGGAAGGACGACACTCCAGTGCTTTCCTGTAACGAGCCATTCAAAGAGAAGTCCTTGCTGATATTCTTGAAGTATTAATCCTAAAAGCACGCAATACTAAGTTACACATATATCAGCTCTTCGTCCTCTTTTCATCTTTCCTAGATATTGGTCGTAATCGAAATTCTTTTTAACCAACCGATTCTTCTGGAAAATTGATATCGAGGCTTAACCTTCGGTCGATTTTCCTGCTTTTCCTCCTCTCAAGGGTGCTCGTCAAATCAGGAATCTCTGGACATATGCGTCAACGTCGGTCAGGACGACACCCTGAAGATGGTTTAACGGGGCTCGTCCTTTCTGGGTTTTACGAGACTGCGTAAACGCGACTCGAAGGACGTATTGCCTCGAGGTCGTCCCTGTACCTCTCGGTGGAAATCGCCTTTAAGTGAATTCGAACTCGAACTCGGCCGTGCGACAATGTAACTTTTCTCGACGTCCCTTCTCGGCAACTTTAGCACCTACTTCCTCCCTCGCCTGCCCTCTTCCTTCATCTCACCCTGCTCGGCCCCTTCCTCGTCACTTTCTTCGGCAGTTAAAGGTACGACCCCAAGACGACTGCTAACCGAGGAAATAAAACTCAAGTGAATTAGCCAGCCTCCCGGCGTCATCTCAGACCCACCAACATCTGGACCACCCTTCATTCGTTCGGCATCTCTCACCTGCTAGCACCTCGGGAAGTGGCGATGTGTAATTCACAGGTGCGGCTGGTTCGAGAGTTATTACACCAGGGACCCGTCCTCGGGAATTTAAGGACCCTCGTCTTCGGGGACCTCTTCACTCCACTAATCCTGAAACGTATCATCCGTTTACTCTTGCTCCGGAGAAATCGATTCGCATTTTTTTTTTGAGTAACTCAAAGCGCTGATAAAAAAACTGGGAAAATTGGCGCACAGCTTAATCCCGGGATAAGAATGGCAAATTATCCTCTGGCGAGGGCTGTGAATTTTCTCTCGGCTTGAAAAACTTACGCAGAAAATAGGTACGCAGTTTTCCACAACGAACGCGATTTGCCCCACCCCTGACAATTTCCGTCTGAATTATGTGTCAGCCCTATCGCTGTAAATAATGCGAAGGGCGCCCTCGCATGGGCCCTTCACCCCCGAAGAGCGAGGTTTCCTCACGCCCTGCTAAATTTATACCACGTTGGAGTTTCTCACGGGACTGCCAGCGCGAGTCTCGGGAAAAAAGCTGCTGGTTACTGGGAGAGAAAATCATTTCCGACCCTGACCCGCGATATTGAATGGCCGGCAGACTTTCATTATCGAAAACGGTGACTTTCTTTCTTGGGCCCTCTCCACTGGGGAAGTTGAGAGATATTGAGAGACACTACCAAAACGATAACCCCCATAATGACATGTCTCAAAAAACTTATTATCGCGTATTATACATCCCATACTAATTTCCTTCGCTGGGAAATCATCGAATTTAAATGCATTATTCCAATAGAGGCATTATATTTTGAGGTACCACAGAAGCGGTTAGGTATTCCTACTTCCAGATTTTTTATTCAGCCAACACGAGTGACTTATGCACCATGCTAATTTTACGATGCACATTGTTAATCTACCCATTATGATTTCAGAAATTTCCGGCAACGCGTCTTCAACACGAAGAAGGAGAACGTCTTCAAGGGCGAGGGACGTTACACTTTCCTCATCCCTGTCGACGAGGGTTTTAAGGTAAGCCTCTTAGGCGCCTTCTCTCATGAGCGATGGCTTCCCTCCCAACGTTTTTAATCAAGAATATGGGAACGATGCCGTGCGTCTGCGAGTCGTCCCCGATTTACGCCTCCACCCCAGGTTCCTGTTTCCTTTCTACGAGGAATACCTCGAGCGAGTCCTGGGCCTCTTCTCGGTACTTCCAGGACCAACGACGTCGATGTCTCAATGTCCCGGATAGAGCACCTCATCCCTCGAAGACCTTGATGAAGAGGCTCTCCAGGTCGTCCTGTCGGATCCTGCGTGATCTCGATCCTCCTGGCGGCTAATGAATTCCTAGGATCCCCGATAAAGTATCGCAAATCGATCGACGTCGAGTCCTGGAGAAACAAAAGGAGCGGTTCCATCCGTCGAAAGTTAGCTATTTCGGTCATTTTTAATTCCCCTTTTGCCAGCTACGTATTCATCACCGGTAGCTCCAGGTCCAATATCCGCAAGGACGCGCCTTTTCCGGATGATTCGTCGCCGGCTTCAGGACCCCTGGCACAAAAATCCGAGGAATCCGGACTACGGCGAGACAGGCGAAGCCGATTACGGGAACCGCGTCCCAAAGACGACGTTCCTCGACGTCTCTCCTCGTTTCGGGGCCGAGAATCCTGGACGCCGCTCCTCGCCATCCGCGGAATCCGCGCAAAGTCGGCCGTCAACGTCCCTCGGACCATTATAGGAGTTCCCAGGACGTTCCTACCTACGCGCCCCTTCGTCTTCGAGCTATTTCTCAAGTCGACGAGACGCGTCCTGAGACCCTTCGGTCCCTGTCTCCATCTTGTTACCTCAACGCCGGTTCTCGAGCCCGTCCCGTCCGAGCCCCATCAGCTGGCAAAGACAGACCTCGTTAGGGAACCTGCTTCGGAACGTCACTAATGTGCTATCAAATAAGATCTAAGTTAAACCATTTCAATTCATTTCGGCCCCTTAGAAATAAGGGATGATCCGGAGTCGATGGTTACCCTCGTGGTTCTCTTCAGGGTGTCTCTGAGGATATGCGTGACAATCCCTGATAACTGTATCCCATTGCGATCGGAGCCCTCCACGCAAAAATTCCTCTCGTTTCATGGCTGGTCTAGGAGGAAGTGGGAAGACCCCACGCGAAGCTTCTTGAAACGTTAAGCTCCTGAAACTTTAAACGCGTTTAATATTTCAAGGGTTTCACGAGCGACGGCTGCAGCTCGTCGCTGCACATAATTCAGGCGGTTCTTCCGCGTTTGAACCGTGCTTATGCGTATAGATTCCGCACGCCGACCCCCGCGTTGTTCCAGGATTCGGTGTCTGGTAGTCCTCGTTGTAATCCTGCCCATTTCCCAGTCTTCGGGGTGTAACTTTAGATGCCTGAAGAGACGCGAGCTGCATCGGGTTAAACACAGCGGAGACGTCGGAGTGTCTGCGGATTTTCCCGGAAATTCAACTCCTCTCCTTTCCCCATTTTCTATCATTTTTTTTTTTTTTTTTAAATAAATTACTTGACGCCATTTCTTTAATTTCACTCGACGATTTGCATCAGTCGATTGCAACAGACTTCGTGGTTATCCAGATTTATTCCTTATTGTTAGTGTAAACTCGACTAAGCCGGTCAAACGATTGTTAATTGATTAATCTCATAATTTATTAAGCATTGAAAATGTTTTTTTTTTCGTCTCGTCGCTTAATATTCAGGTAACGTTTTACCACGGATATGAATTTCCTAATTTCACCCCGAGGACGTGTCTGCACTTTGGAGGGACGAATTTTCTCACATCCTGCATGAACTCCACCCTTCACTTAGCTTCATCCCCGTCAAAGTGACATTATCCCACAATGTGCCCGTGTCATGAGCTCCCGAGATGTACTCAAAACACGCTTCTGTAAAGGAGCCTCTGAAAGGGCCTCGCCCTTTATGGGGACGTCAAACCATCTACGAATCCCCCATTCACTGCACATGCACGCAATTACCCCCACCCTCCCGTTGGAAACTCCTGGAATATAAAGAGGGATGCATTAAACAATCTGCATAAATTTCTCCCCACCAGTAAAATAATAATCCCACGCCCTTAACCATCAAAAAATAAATAAATACCTCCAAACCATTTCCAAGGACCGCGGGAGCACCCCCTGCCAGCCAAGAATATCCCCATAAAAATTGCGGAATTTATAAACTTCATTAATAACTTCCTAACTCTAATTGTTTCCCCTTTGGGGAGATATTCTATCTTATCGCCTGGTCAGGATTCCCCTTTAGCAGATATAACGCGAGCTTTAGAATCGCGACAGAAATCCAGGGGAATTTTCCACCCTCCATATGTCCCCATATCTCCACCCCATCCGAGCAGCTCTGTCCGAAAACGCGTGCATCCCCCGTGGTCAAAGGACCAGGGTGCAAAGGAGTGCGTGAAAGGACCTCATCCCCTGTGGAGGATCTCTCTCATGGTCAAGGTGCTCGCACGCACGTTCGCCCTGGTGTCCAGGGGTAAGTTGCGTTATAAGCGAGGGCCAGAGGGTGGAAACCACCCTCTTTGGCCGGACATTCTTCACGGTGGAGCGACTTTATCCGTGCAGCTGGAGCTAGATGCATAATCAGTCCTGTCGGTCGAGGGTTTCGGGGGTGGCTTTGCTCGGCTCGTTGGCTCGTTGTGACGTAGAGCACCCTTTTTCGTTATTGGCGTCTGCGAGGCTGTTGCACCCTCTATCCCGCCCTGACATCCTGGAGGTCCTGGACGCGGGGGCGGATGAGAGACGGAAACGGCGTGTAATTAATGAGCACTGTCTTGTCGGTAAGCTAATTAAATATTTGCCCCCGACGCGCCTCGGGCTACGCCGAAGAGTCTATTACACCCCTGTGGCCCTAGCCCCTCTCTGGGGTGCCTCTAATTGTAAGCCAGCGAGAACCTATCGGCTCCTCCGCGAATGAACTCCCGCCATTCCGAACTGTGCGCCAGAGAACATGGACACCTTTGGATACCTCGCTAATTGAATTAAAATGTAGCCTAAACAGTGGAAAGGGGTGAATCGGGGTGGAGGGAGACTTAGTATCTCTGGAATTATCGCCACCGGGGACGTGATATCTTGCAAGGAGATGTCGAACGAGAGCTGTATGTTTACCAGTATGAGCGAACTTCTCGAAAGACATTGACATTTTTAGAAATAAAAAAAAAACACTTCATAGTCGCTCGATGAAATCGGTATTACGAGATGTCTCGTCGAAAATGTTAAAAAGACCTGTTTGGGGCGCATGATAGTCTTAAGTGCCGGGAGGGTTAACGATTGTGGTTTACTATCATCGACGATAGGTGAATTAAATGGATCGATTTTTTTATTACAGCCTACGCCGCGGCCGCGGAAGGTCGACGCTAAGGTGATCGATGGCCACGTTATCCCGAATCATGTGCTCTTCACCGCACCGACCCCCAATGAGACCCCATTCGAGACCCTGGCCTTCTCGGACAATCTCAAAGTCACCATCAGCTTCTCCACCGAGCACGACGGCAAGGAGACGAGGAGTACGTTCTTCGGATCTCGAAGGACTTGCTAGATTTCCTTTCAAATTATTTCTTACCGATTTATCTCGAATTTCAGCTTACGTCAAATCGAACACCCTGCTTGGCGACAACGACCACGCGACGGGGGTTGTTCTCGCGGAAATTGTCAAGGCCAACATCCCCGTACGCAATGGCGTCGTGCACCTCATTCAACGACCCCTCATGATCGTAGACAGCACCGTCGTGGATTTCCTAAAGGTCAGTGTACATCTTCAGGGTGGATTGACGGAATGATCTCGAAACCTAGTCACCAGGAGATCGTTAGGCGATTATCATCGGGTCGGATATAAACCCGATGACTTCTCGTTCGCCAATCATCGAAAGTAAGACTTCTCCAATTTTAACGAAAGATGGTTGAAAAATGACAATTTAAAAAATGTTCCGCTCAAACGAGGTCCATTCCACTCGGATTCTTTCTGGGTGGTCAAAATGTCATTGGGAAAGGGTCAGCAAATCAGCTCCCTCGTTCTTGATTTAAATTCGAAAAATGGTACCAGGTATACCTAGGTTCAGCTAATGTCGTCATTTTTTATTTTCTAATGAAAATCTAAAAATATGAAAAAAATGTATTTGTTGAATAGGAGCTGGGTGTTCATACTTCGACGCAGGGTATCATGAAAAGCGACCTCCTATGTTCTGCAAAGTCCGGCCTCGACCAAGGAATAAAGCTATTGCCAGAGACATTCCTGCGCGACTTCGTTTGAAACCTGCGAAAGCTTTTAGACTCGACGGGGTCAGGGGATGATGCCGAGAACTCGAGAGCCTTTCTGGCGGTCTCTTTCTCTCTCTCTCCCCAGGCCTGTCTTTTATCGATGTCGCTTTGACGAAAGTGCGAATACTGGCCGAGAACGGAAAGTCGAGCTGGTCTGCACCGTTCTGCCGAGTTAATGGAGCACTCGTTCCTTGTGCTTCTCTGCAGCTTCGAGCCGCCACGTCCGACCTGCTTCCTCTTCGGGTCTTTATGCGAACACCCACGAAGAGCGCCTTTTTTTTCAAAAGCCACGGATATTTACATTCAAGGGTCTAATAATTATAATCGTGAGGGGCCCAGTTTCTCTCTTTGCGGCTCTTAAGGGACTCCCAACTCGGAGATTCGCGGTTAATACATGTACCCTATAAAAAAGTACCCCAAACGTACTTCACAATGTAGGATATCACTATACTATCGCTCTTTATATATGTTCATAACGAATACTATCTTCGGCAACATCAGGCGTCTCTTCGGCATTATCTTTAAGATGTTATCAGGGATCCTCTCGTTCTCACTCTGCACTGAATTATTTACACATTGTGATTGGGGGGTATCGCTTTTGCTTTGATTTTTCTTAGAATGTGATTAATTAAGGTTATATTTATGGATGTTGGAAATGGTCGGACGCGGTAATTTCCATTTATCGTTCAATTTCCCATCGCAGGATGCCCTATCATTCGTCATGCCCCGAATTACGAGTACCGGTGACAGGTGACAAGTTTTCCTCGCGAGCCGGAATTTCGAAGGACGAAATGAAAATTCATGGAGCTCCACGGGTAACCTTACGGCCCTATCGCGCGTGTTCAGGCACCGAGATGTAATGATTTTAATCTTCCACGGAGCTCGGCTTCATCGCCGACCCTCGAAGATCCAGGATAACTCGTTTAGTTAACCGTAATGTCTCTCCTTAACCTTTATTCTTCGCGCCGTTACGTCGTCGCTCCTTTACTCTCCCTGCTTCTCGAATTTAAAGCCAAAGCTGATCGTGCAAAACCCCCGCGCTGAAAAATCCTTAATCCGTCCACCTGAACGCAATTAACAGATCCCACTAAACAACAAAATCCCTCTTCACTTGAAATTCCCTGCCAAGGAATTCTAAAAACGCAAACCTCCATTTTATCGATTTCCTCCACTAAGGAAAAAACTTTTAATCCAAAGAATAATTATTTGACTGAAACGTTTCTTCGGAATCGCGACAATTAATTCGGGTTTATTCGAGTTAAACCTCATTGAATGAATAAAATATTCCCTTGGCTCAATGAATTTTTTAAACGGGGTAACGTCTTTAACTCGAACCGAAAATTCAATTCTACGTTCTGCTGGAAGCGCGTTTTTTTCTTTATATATTTTAGTCGGGTACCGGAAGGAGGGTAATTCATCTCCTAATTGATGATCTCACTTTGGAGTGACGGAGGAAAGAACGATTCGCGCGGCAAATCGGCGTTCTCGAATTAATCCCACTCCCAATGCTAATTCGGGCCTCCGAGCGATAGGTGCCGTTCCGTCCGACAAATTCATCGATATTCCGGCAATATCGATAAATCCCTCGTCAAGGCGTGTCCGATATCATCGGGCTCGCGTACGATCCCGCGTACATCGATTTAGCCAGATCCTCCGTGTGGAGTACACGTATTGCGGATATTTATAGGACACTCAGGATACGACCAAGATGTCCTTTGCCCAACGGGCCGTATTTCACGGAATATTACGCGATCCCAGGCCCTCCATCCGAGGCGCCAACTACCATTTCCTATCCAACTCGTAAATCGGATTAGACAAAGTTCCCACGATGCTCGTTCGCAGTTATTTGGTCGCATCGGCAGCCAGCTAGATGCGACTCATTTCCCTGAGCGTCACTATACAACTATTACCTCCAGACTTAACGATTACATCGAGGATTATCGCGATAACCACGGAACTTCCGGTCGAAAAGGCCCTCGAGGAACCCAAACTTTCGGGGATCGGGTTAAATCGAGCAAGCCATTTTCGATCGATCTAATTTCCGTACCCGGTATTCACTTAATAGATTGTGCAGAAATTAAACCAGTCGTTGAGTCCTCGTGAGAAACATCCCCTTATGCCGATGGGGTGCTGATTTCTGGGGAATATTAAATACGGTTTCATCAACTATGGCGGAAATTTGGAGGAAAGCCGTATTCTTTTGGGGAATTATTACCGGGCGATTTGATCTTCTAAATTGATTTAACGTGGTTGCACGGGGTGCAATTTGTTCGTTAGGAGGTGAAATTCTTGAAATTCTGGAGAGGGAATTTCTTCGCCCGATTGCGTTGGAATTCAATTCGGAGATTGTGTAGGATTTAAAAATGGGAAAGAGATAAGTATGTAGTCTCTCTCATTGGACCTGGATTGTTGATTTCTACGAATATTACGTGCAGCCTGATTAGTTGGAAATATTTTTTGGAAAATTGTGCTCTTGAATTAACGTGAGGCAATTTAAAGGAGAATATGAGAAGGAGTGGCCACGAAAGTTCGGATTTGTTCGTCAGGTTGGATTTCTTGAAATTCTTCCGGTCGACGGAGTCGATAACTGTGATAATGCCATCCCCTCGAAGAGCCCCGGAAGTTTCGCAGGCCGGGTTAAGTCGAGCAGGAAATTTTCAATCGCTTACACCCTTCTTGATCAGTTCGGCCGTTTCAATCTCGGGGATTCACTTACCGAGTACCTCGTACTTCGTTGTCGATGCTTTACTATCGAACTTTTACGATCGTACTCGCAGGCTGCCGACATCCGTTGAGGCGAAAGGATTCTGCAAGGTATATCCTTGCTCGTTAGGACTTCGGACTCCCTCCTGGATTTCTTCGATCGTGATTCGCACCTCTTCCCATTTTCGCCATACCTTTGAAAATCCTTTAAATCGCACATAAAGTGGAAAGGATAAAAAATGCCGAGCAAAAAATAAAGCCGAAAGAGACGACGGGGTAGAAGAAGATGAATTCTTCTAAATGATTTATTAACAGCTTCGAAATTATGTCGGCGTTAAAAATCTCTAAATTAGGTAATTTTATTTTCTGAGGAGTTACCTTCGGTTTAAAACTTGTCTATTGGGAGTCTTTGAAATGCTCTTTTTTTACGTGGCATATTTATTTGATTTCAGTGATCTATATGGAGTCCCTGAGTTTTAAAATGATCTCGCCGCGCTTGATTTCATCCTCGCGATCACCTTTTGCCTCCGTCTCGTTGCCTTCAAGTCCGTGGGGAAATTCGACTCTCACCGAGCCGACCTTCCCGATTAATCGATAAACCGATTAATCGTTCACGCCTGTACCCCTGATTACACCTCGCTCCCCGATCTTCCGGGATCTCAATCGGGGAGCGCTTCTTGCACTTCCATCCAAGACGTTTATCGCTTTTCGCCAATTAATCCGTTTACTTGGCAAACACATCAATTCTCACTTACTCCGTATTTGCACTCCTCTGCTGACCAGAAACTCCCGTAAATCTCAGTCCGGATTCGTTATCGTGGAGATTCTCGCCTGGCTTCATGAAAAATAATCCCATACTTCGCTCCTCAGTCTCCACAATTTCTCATGATGGACCAGAAGTGCATATAAAAGAATTGGGAGCACCTTGAGTACTCTTAAATGCACCGCATTTAAAGAGCCATTTCTATGCACGCGTCGTCCATCGAAAGAAGAATAATAAAATATCCGACATAACTCTACGAGAGTGCAATTTCGTTTTTTGATACATATATAATATTTCAGATCATTTTTTAACGCTCTCAAGTGCACCGCATTGAAAGGGCGATTTTAGAGAACGCAGGGTTTATTAAAAATAGGTAATAAAACTAAAATCAGGAATAATTAAAAAATAGATTTAAACAGATTCTGAGATTGGGCTCCAGAATTTTTTTGACCGATTCAGATTCCGAGATTATCGGAAGACCCCCAGGTCCGGTACAAGTCCATCGATTAATCGACTTGTCGATTAATCACCCCGACAGGGCCGGTTTCAGGGCTCTTCCGTTTCCTTAATCGGGCGGCACTTCTTGCACTTCCGGCGGACGTCGGAGGCATTTATCGTCCACATGAAATGTGCCCTCCACCGACTAATCCGTTTACACGTAAAACACACGGGACCCCGTTCGCCTGTATTTATGCCGGGGGCGAAAGCTCGCCCCCCGCGAACTTTAGCCCCGACTATTCGCCGGTGGAAACTTTCCTGGACTAATTCGCGCGTCTCTTTCCTCACTTTGCTCCCACTTTCCCGACTCGTGTCGCCTGGAATGAAATATACTGATTACCAGAAATATCTGAAGTATCCTCGAGTGGGCCTGGAGGGGAGAAAGACGGTCGGGCCAACTTCGTTTCGGGAGCAAATAAGTAAACCTTTGCAGTTTGAAGGAAGCACTTTTCGAGTGTGTCGGAGCGGAATTTCGTTTGAATGCTGCGGAGCTTTCGTCGAGGCTGGAGAAGATTGACGTGG